TTTTTTTTTTTTTTTTTTTTTTTTTTTTTTTTTTTTTTTTTTTTTTTTTTTTTTTTTTTTTTTTTTTTTTTTTTTTTTTTTTTTTTTTTTTTTTTTTTTTTTTTTTTTTTTGTATACCAGGTGTTTTTAGAGTACGCAGACATCGAGAGCGCAACGAAAGCTCGATCTGGTTTGAATGGAAGAAAATTTGGAGGGAACCAAGTGATAGCTGTATTCTATCCAGAGAACAAGTTTGCCCAAGGGGAGTATGATGCCTAAACTTCAGTTTTTACTTACAAACACAGTTATTGGTAAAAAAAATAGAAAATATTTACCTTTGTTCTTAAATGTGGTAAGGTAAGGTAAGTTTGTGAACAGGCAAGTAAGTAATGTCAGCGATCTAGATTTTAGATAGTCACAGTCTCTGTCATTTTAAATAGTAATGGATGGATAGCCTAATCTCAACCTTATTCTTCTTTATTACTATACTTTTAATGGACTTTCTTGAATCTTCTGTGTACTATTATTTTGTTTAATTGTTTCTTCCCTTTTGCAAGCAGAGTTTGAAATAACAATTTTCCATGCAACAAACCACTCAGGGAAGCTCAATTCACAGCTACTGACACGAATTAATTTCATAAACGTATTTTATATTTTTAAAACTTGTTAAAAGAATAGATGTTATCATTAAAGTCTAGTTTCAAAATAGAACACAAGTAGATAATACAAAATAGGTTCGTATTTAGGTAGGATCTCTGTAGTCTTCAATAAACATGTTGGTTTAACGATAATACTAAAACTTTCAATAAACATGTTGGTTTATGATGTTGATGTTTAAGCATAATTTGAATTGGAATTCTTGGGGACAGACTTGAAAATATAATAATTTTGTATGGTCATACACTAAAAATAAAATTGTTATATAATTGGTATGAATCATTCACTAATAAAAGTTGAGAGTTTCAATTAATAGTAACCTATAAAAGTTGGTATAAATTCTAACCTTTTCCAACCATAAATTACAAAATATATAATTTACAAACAAAAATATGATAAAATCAAAAACCAAACTTTAAGGTTACTAAGATTTATACTAAATCTATCACCTCATCCTTCTCTTTCTCTCTTCTTATTTCTTCTTTCATTCCCTCTAACTCCCAAACTATTCCTTCAATCTTTGCTTCAATGGCATCATCACTTAGCTCAAAAGCACTCTCCACCACCCTCACAATCCTCCACAAACTCCCCACCATTATAACTCCACCGCCTCTCCTCTTTGCAGCCACCTCCAAACCCAACGCCACAGCCACAACCACGCCATCCACGACGCAACCAGGCTGCCTGAAGAACGAGAGGCCAAGGCCGACCACCAGAGCCACGGTCTTCGTTGAGAGCAAGCTCAATATGGCAATGCTCACCCAATGAAAACCCATAACTTCTTCTTCTCTCTTGTGACTAACAGGCGAATTACATGATATTAACGAAGATGAGAGTTCGAGGACAGTAACGATAAGGTCCATTAAGAGGAGAACAATGGTGATGAGATGAGAAGGTGTGGATTCAAGGAAGGTGATCAAATGGGATCTCCATGAGGATAATGGGTTGGAGGTGTTTGGAATTGGGGTGGCAAAGAGAGTATGCCATTTTATACGTCTTTGGTTGAGTTTCATAACATTTTGAATAGACAATTCTAAGGCTTGGATGGAGGCGGCGGCCGCGGCGGGGGGTTCCGGCGGAGTTGGTGAGCTTGAGAGATCAGCCATGGAGGGTGAATGAGGTTGAGATGTGATATGAATGGAGGGTTTAATATGAAAATTATATGGAAGAGCAAGTGGTTGACATGGTGTGGAGGTCACGTTAGGCGATGTGGGCTGCTTCAGAAGATGCGTGGTGAAAGGTAAATTAATGCTTAAAGCATATTGTTTACACAAAAGCACGCTACCTTTTACGTTCTTAATTATTTTCTTCTTATTATTATTGTTTTTAGTTAAGATCATCCCTTCATCTTCCCTCGATCCTACTAACGAAAACATTGTATCCGAGACATTGTATCCGAGTGAATGTTAGAGAGAATGGTAGGAACCACGACTCTCTAATGATGTGATATTTTCCACTTTGAGTTTATTCCAAAAAGACCAGTATCATTCCTTAAATTAGTTAAGGTGAGACTCTCTTCCAACAATCCTCAACAATGAAAACGAAGAATTTTATGTTGGAAATTGGCTACGATCAAAATATGTCGAAACAAATAACTAAAAGCCTAACTAATTCCAAATCTACAAAACCAAGGCCAATGGACCCATCTCTCAACCAGACTAAGAATAAGCATTCCTATAATCACCTAATATTTTAAATTTGAAACGGTTAGTTCCCCTCTCCAATCTACTAAATATGTTTGAAATACATGTAGCTTTGAAACTCGTCCTTCTTCCGTATCATTGACTACACCCCGACACGTAAAGAACCCGCAATAACATGCTAGTTGTTCATCAATAAGATATAAGCACCCAACATAAACAGAACCTATAATCATAATCATGGGTAAGTTCTTTCCATTGCATTTCTCTATTTTGTAAATGATTATAAATAGAAAACTATCAACACCATTTAGCTGGAGTGGTTTGAGCAAATATTCTCATATCTAATGAGCTTTAGATTTTATAATAGTTTTCGAGCCTAATTGGAGCTTCTCATCCAAAGAGCCATAAACCGAGGAACTGACAAACGAGAGGCGGGGTTTGTTCCGGCAACGAGAATAGACATGGAGCAAACGAGGGGGCTTGAAATTAAGATCATTAAAGTGATTCACCAAAAGCCTCCGGGCTTTCACCTTCTTAGACATAACATTCGAAGACCCAGTTGAAGTAACAAACGGAGACATAGTGGAATAGAGTACTAGCATTATAAAAATCGTCATTGTTATCATCTCCATCTTCTCCATCAATAATTTGTGGCCTCGGGCACTGCTCAAGGGATGGGACCATGGTTTGTTGGGGTCTGAAAATAAAATCACATGCAACATGATTTTGGTAGGACCTAATTTTGTGACTATTCCTTGGGTTTTACTTTCTTTTTCATGTACCGTCCTAATATGAAACTTTTGGAAATTTGGTTAACATCCTTATTGAAAAACAAGACCTTTAGATCTAAAATATTCAAGGATCCCAAAACAAATAAAGAACCAACTTAAAAAAAAAGTTTTTGAATAGTTTAATCAAAATGGAAGAGGAGAAAACTCATTTCTAAACTCGAACTATTTTGGGTGGAAAGTGTCTTAGTTTGATATGGTTAGAGAGGAAAGATTTGCATAATTTTAGGGCCCAATGTATACGTGTTGTAAGCCCCGATTCCAAAGGCCATTCCATTATGAAACAAAATAAAAATAAAAGAAAACAAAACAAAAGAACACCAGAAAATCCCAATCCAAAAAATGGCGGAGTCGGAGGCAATCAGGGCAGAATGCGAGCGAATCTTCAACCGCTTCGACTGCAACGGGGACGGCAAGATCTCGCTGTCGGAGTTGGAGAACGCTCTCCACGCACTCGGCTCCTCCTCGCCGGAGGAGGTCCGGCGCCGTATGTCGGAGATCGACAAGGACGGCAACGGCTTCATTTCCCTCGATGAACTGTTCGAGTTTCAGAGGGCTAATCCCGATTTGATGAAGGAGGTCTGCAAAAGGCTGTAGCTTTCTTTCTCTCTTTATTTCTTTCTTTCTTTATTATTATTATTATTATTATTATTATTATTATTATTATTATTATTATTTCCAATTCCAATTCCAATCATTTGGGAATTCTTATCAATTTTGTAACCAAACCATTCCATCATGTATTCTTTATATTTCTTTTTCATATTTTCAATAATTTTTTAATTTTAACACAATACACAATTACTTTATCAGTTTTTATTTATAAAAAAAAAAAAAAAAAAAAACTATCATCTTTCATTATTTATATTTAATTCATTAAATTTTGGTCCTTTTAATCCTATAATTTAACACAATAGACCATGATCACCATGCTCGTTCTTTTTCGGTGGATAAATATATGAACGTGTCTTGTTTCATCGCACCCTCACATTGATTATCGTCTTCTACATCACTAACTGTCGATCAATGTTGGTAAATCTCTTCTACTTTAGAGATTCAATTTGGGTACGTTTTAAATATTAATATCTTCTCCTAATTGTCTCGGCCATCCTAATTTTTGTTTATGGAGGAGATATCAGAGGATTATTTGTCATAGTCGAATAACTTTCACCAGGAAGGAATTAAAAAGAAGGAAAAAAGAGAAATGAGAAGAGAAAAAAAAAAACATAAGAAAAGGGGCATTTTTGTAATTTCATATGTTTTTAATTAAATTTTAAAAAAATCAGAAGAGGAATTTGAGCTGCTTGTTATATAATATGTGTTAATTATGATGAAGATCAAAGATGGTAATAAGATCATAACACAACTATCTATATTGTCCCTCAACTTAACAACATTTCAACCTAGTTAACATAAGTAAGCTGAGTAAGAGCCTCATTAGGGCCAATTATTGAAAAGTAGAAAAGCAAAGACAAATTAGTAAAACTCAAACGCTAGTCTAGGCAAGTCTATGACATAGGTTTATGGTGCTCGGGTATGAGTAGGCATTGCAAAGGGTTCAATGTTTACCATACTCTAGAGAGCCGATCAATAAGAATGAATAAATGCAAAGGGTTCAATGTTTACTATACTCTAGAGAGCCGATCAATCAGAATGAATAGATCGAAAGAAGAAGCCCGTTAAGCTAAAAGTTATTTATGAGCTTCCAAAACTAGAATTTAGCTATAAGTGGTCCAACAAAACTTAAATGTTTATAGTAAGAAAGGTTAGGATCTACTTATACCATATTTAGACACAAGCAAGATTTTTTAGTAGGTTATATTGACGGTTCTAAAATTGGTTGGGCTAAAGTGACAATTAAGATTCATAGAGTTGAGTCATGAAAATACTTAGTAGAAAAGAACTCTAATGTGTATCAAACTTGTACGAGGAGTTGGATGACTAGAGGACAAAGGATTTTGTGATCTATCGTAGTTACTTGACCCTATGTATCTGCCACGAGATTATTACACAAGTAGAGGTTTATCTTTGATCGTGACTAGCTAGATGGTCCTTCATAGTTCTCTTATAAGTTATGAATGATGAGCTTAAAGGGGAAAAAAAAAAAAAAAAGAGGAGCGGAGCTAAACAAGTTTGAGTGACTATAGGAATTAATAGAGGGCTAGCTATGTTATCCTGAGTCTCGAGCATCCTAAGAGATATACATGAGATTAGTATTGAATAAAAGACTTGTCATAAGATTCTTTGTCCTAAGTTATCTTTATCGATGATTTATAGTTAGGCCTAAGGTATGTAGGTTGATACTATATAATAAGACTATTTAAGTTTTAAGCGAGCTACTCACTCTATTTATATACTCATTCATACTTTACTTTACTTTCTTTTAGATAGAATTTAAGTATCGTAAGGGAATTAGTAGGTATAGAATATGTTTAAATCAAGAGTTTATAACAAACTCTATAGTTTCCGTTGTGCATTTCATATTGTGAAACATTTGGAACACCGTGATTCTTATCATCTTCCCCCTCTTCAAAAGGATTCGTCTTCGAATAAAAAAAAATCATCACCTACATCAAAAGGACTAAAGTTAGTAACAATGTACTAAAAATTGTCTGGAAAGATCAATTTTATATGCATGGTTATTAATTCTTCCAAGAACTTGATAAGGGTATCTCCTCTTGGATATAATTTTGTCTTCCTTTAAGATGAGAATCGCTAATTGCGAAAATATATCCAAACCCAGTCATCGGGTTGAAAAGTAATTTCCTTCCGTCATTTGTTAATTCTTGAATCAACTTTAAAATTTTGTTTCTCAATTATCCTCTTCACCTCTTTGTGCAATGTTTTGATCAAATCTGTCTTACTTGTGATTGCTTCAGTTACATAAATATTAGAAGAAATAGGAAGCAAATCAAAAGTGGTAAGTGGATTAAATCCATAAACAACTTCAAAAGAGAACAATGATTGGTACTCTGAATTGCTTTATTATATGTCAACTCTACAAATGCCAAACATTCGTCCCTAGACTTAATATTCTTAAAAATAATAGCCCAATTCTATGTTCTATTAACCTTTAACCACTCCAATTTTAGTCCGAGGATGACATTTAGTTGAAAACAATAATTTCGTACCCAATTTACCCACAATACTTTCCAAAGTGACTTAAAAATTTAGCATTCTTGTAACAAACAATTATTTTAAGGACTTCATGTAATCTTACTACTTCCTTACCGAATAAGTCAGCAACATATTTTGCATCATCGGTGTTGTTGCATGCAATAAAATGAGTCATTTTACCTAATCTTTCTACCACAACAAAAATAATCTTTACCATTTTTTAGTATGCTCAATCAAAAACAAAATTCGTAGATTAGTCAAATGTTCATTAGGTACATCTAGAAGAGTATACCAATCATTTGGTTGTAATCCAGATTTAGCTCTTTTGCATATAAAACATAGGCTACAAAACTTGTAATTTGAAAAGTTGTTTTCTCGTTTTAATATCATGCATATTAACTAAAGATTGTCCTAAGTTTAAAATATTGGAGAAAAAAGTATTTACTCGTGTCGATATGACCTCACAACCTCACCCCTGTCAGAAGACCCTCATGGAGGCATTTAAAATATTATGTGAATAACCTAAGTTTCTTTCGATCTTTTTCAACGAATTTGTAAGGAACACTCATGTTTGATAAATCTTACACATGCTGGTTAAAAATACAAAACTTATGCACTCTCGCTTTCGGGCCATTTTGGATTCAAATTTCATAGGTGTTAACATAAGAACTTTTTTCCCCTTTGAGACAAGGTCGTTAACTCGATCTGAAAATCTATTTTCTCGTTTTAGTATCATACCATATCCACTGAAAATTGTCCTAAGCTTAAAATATGGGAAAAAAAAATATTTACTCGTGTCGATAAGACCTCACAACCTCAACCCAATCGAGAAGACCCTCATGGAGGCACTTAAATAATTGTGAAAACCCTTTGTTTCTTTCGATCTTTTTCAACGAATCGCTAAGGAACACTCGAGTTTGATGAATCTTACTCATATGTTTGGTTAAAATACAAAACTTATGCACTTTTGCTTCTGGGTCATTTTGGAGTCAAATTCCATGAGTGTTAACATATGAACTTTTTTCCCCTTTGAGACAAGGTCGTTAACTAAAACTGAAAAGTTATTTTCTCGTTTTAGTATCATACCATATCCACTAAAGATTGTCCTAAGCTTAAAATATGGAAGATTTTTTTTTTTTTTACGCGTGTCGATAAGACCTCACAACCTCAATCCAATTGAGAAGACTCTCATGGAGGCACTTAAATCATTATGTGAAAAACCTTTGTTTCTTTAGATCTTTTTCAACAAATTGGTAAGGAACGCTCAAGTTTGATGAATCTTACACATATGTTAGGTTAAAATATGAAACTTATGCAATTTAGCTTCCGGGACATTTTGGAGTCAAATTCCATCGGTGTTAAGATAGGAACTTTTCCCCCCTTTGAGACAGGGTTGTCAACTCGATCTGAAAAGTTGTTTTCTCGTTTTAGTATCATACCATATCCACTAAAGATTATCCTAAGCTTAGAGTATGAAAGAAAAAAAATATTTACTATTGTCGATAAGACCTCACAACCTCAACTCAGTCGAGAAGACCCTCATGGAGGCACTTAAATCATTATGTGAAAAACCTTTGTTTCTTTCAATTTTTTTCAACGAATCATTAAGGAATGCTCAAGTTTGATGAATCTTACACATATGTTGCGTTAAAATACGAAACTTATGCACCTTCGCTTTCGAGCCATTTTGTAGTCAAATTCCATGGGTGTTAACATAGGAACTCTTTTCCCCTTTGAGACAGGGTCGTTAACTCGATCTGAAAAGTTATTTTCTCGTTTTAGTATCATATCATATCCACTAAAGATTGTCCAAGCTTAAAATATTGGAGAAAAAAATATTTACTCGTGTCGAGAAGTCCTCACAACCTCAACCCTGTCGAGAAGACCCTCGTGGAGGCACTTAAATCATTTTGTGAATAACCCAAGTTTCTTTCTATCTTTTTCAACGAATCGGTAAGAAATGTTCAAGTTTAATGAATCATACACATATGTTGGGTTAAAATACGAAACTTATGCACTTTCGCTTACGGACCATTTTGGAGTCAAATTCCAACACATAGGAACTTTTTTCCCCTTTGAGATAGGGTAGTTAACTCGATTTGAAAAGTTGTTTTCTCGTTTTAGTATCATACCATATCCACTAAAGATTATCCTAAGCTTAACATATGGAAGAAAAAAAAACATTCACTCGTGTCGATAAGACCACACAACCTCAACCCTATCGAGAAGACCCTCATGGAGGCATCTAAATAATTATGTGAATAATCTAAGTTTCTTTCGATCTTTTTCAACGAATCTGTAAGGAATGCTCAAGTTTGATGAATCATACACATATGTTGGTTTAAAATACGAAACTTATGCACTTTCGCTTCCGAGCCATTTTGCAGTCAAATTCCATGGGTGTTAACTTAGGAACTGTTTTCCCCTTTGAGACAGGATCGTTAACTCGATCTAAAAAGTTGTTTTTCTCATTTTAGTATCATACCATATCCACTAACTTCGGTCAAAAGAAGTGTTCATACAACATATTATAAGTTATATTAATTCCAAAATGTCCCATGATGCTACTAACATGTGTTCTTTTACCAGCAAATCTCTT